GCTTCTTCCCCGGAAGCCCAAGCCTCTGCTAGCCACGCCCAGGATTTCTTTAAACTAACCAATGATAATCAAGGGACGTGCGCGCCATAGATATGACCACATCCTGTGTAACGAGACACCGACTTGTGCCTGGCCAATCGGCAGGGCCCACAGTCCCCTCTCCTCCCCTTACTCCACCCCCCTATAAAACTCCTCTTCCCACCAAGCTAGCCCTCTCTCTGCCACTTGGCTTGCCGTTGCGTCGGTGAGTGTGGTCGGGGAGCCGAACTAGTTCGAATAAAGACTCTTTGTTTTTGCATCGGACACAGCTGGCTCCCTCGTGTGGTCTACTGGGGATCTTGAAATCTGGGCATAACAACAGCAACCTCACTCTTTGTATATAATGGCACCTTGAGAGTGCATATGTGCTTTAATTTTTGTCTTCTAAAGATACTACACTTCGTACTTTCATTACCCATTTGTTCCTATTCTTGGTGATTGTACCTCTCTGTTCCACACTCATTTAATAAAGATTCAGAATTATTGAAATTTTACATCACTGAGTATCATGCAATATTACCATGTAGAATTTAAGAACCAGACAGTAATGTGCACAGCACAAATGTAATGTGTTTTATGAGATATATTAGCATAATTGAGGTGTACTTCAAGGTGAGGAACAGAATAGAAACAAAAAACATAGAGGTGTGCAATCCATCTTACAGCAGGCTATCTAGCATGAAAAACCCAGACTCAATGCTTTTGATTCTACAATTGGAAGTGACCTGCAATTCACATTTATTCATTCCAAAAATTATTGCAATTTAATAAAATGTAACTAGTATTAAATCCATATATTATACTTTTATTAAGAGAAATGTGCTGTGGTGAGGGATTACTACATTTTATATTTAGCATCGCTTATACTTATAAAACTATTTTGCTACCATGTAATGAGCATCAAATATGTGCCAGGAACTATACCAGGGGCTTTACATAAATTATCACATTTATGCTTCATAGTCACTTTATACATTTGTAGATAGAGAAACATCTTAGAAAGTTTAAGAAATATTCTTAAATGCACATGATTAAAAAGTGGTAGCACAAAATTTGAAATTGAATAACTCTGTGCATAGATGGCAGAAATTGTCATATATTTCATTAAAATAGGTTTTAATCCAAAACCCTCAGCAAATACTTTTTGAACTCTCTTATGTTAAAGTTACCTAACAGCCATGCTTTGAAGGATGAAATTAGTGAATTAGACACAAATCCTGCTATAAAGTTGAACTTGGTTTGCAGGTAAGACCCATACTAACAAAGATACATTGAGAAAAGTGGTGTGAGCCCTAAGAAAGAAGCAAATATAATCCTGTAGAAGTCCGCAGAAGAAATTACTATAGTTTGCTAATGAATTAGGACTGACTCTGTAGAAGTGATAGCATATGAGCCAGGCTTAGATGGACAGGTGAAATTTAAAGTCAGATAATAGTAAGTGTTAGGAAATGAAGAAAATGGAAGTCTCCTGAACTGCTGATAGACAGTTAAAATAACTGCTTCGTAAAACAGTCAAGTACTTCCTCAATGGATTAAACATAGAGTTACTATAAAACCCAGAAATTCTACTCCTAGTATATACCCAAGAGAAGTGGAAACTTATGTCCATACAAAAACTTATGCAAAAGTGTTTATAGCATCATTAGTCAAACTAGCCAAAAGATGGAAATAACCCAAATGTTTTCTGTGAATGACCCACGTCCAGTGTGGTTCAGGGTTCAGGCTCTGGAAGAGGGGCTGCACGCAAATGACAGAAAGACAAGAAATAATAATTTGGAAATTGGGGGGCCAGGTGAAAGCACAAAGCAAGAAGATGGACTCCACTTGTGCTCCGACCTTGCCATCCTTTTATTCAGTTTGGGATACACCTATATGCCTTAGGCAGGCAATTTCCAGTAACAGACAGACTATCTTATCAGTAAAGATTTACATGACTATCTGGTGGGGAAGTTGCTTCAGCTACCATTGTCTCTACTAAACAGTCAGTGCATAGCTCTGACCTTTGCCAGGGCTTAAGGGTCACCAGCATTCCAGGCTCCTTGTCCACACCTCTCTGCTAATGAAGACAACAGGCGGCTTCCCACAGTTTTCAACAAAGTGATAAATAAAATATGGTATATGCATATAATAGAATAATACTCTGCTGTAAAAAGAAATGAAATACTGATACATGCAACAACACAGATGAATCCTGAAAATATTATGCTTATGTGAAAGAAGCCAGTCAAAGTCTACATATTACACAATTCCATTTATATAAAAGCCCATAATAGGGAAATCTATAGTGACAGTGATTGCTGACAACATCTATTATTTCTTTTCCTTCTTTTTTTCAGGTATTTGTTTGTTTCTTTCTTTAATCCTCACCCAAGGATATATGCATTGATTTTAGAGACGGTTAGGGTGGGGAAGAAATATCAACCAGTTGCCTCCTGCATATGCCCCTACTAGGGATTGAACCCACAAGCTGGGTACATGCTCTGACCAGGAATTGAACTTGCCACCTCGATGCCCCAACCAACTGAGCAACACCAGCCAGAGCCACAACATCTATTATTTCTATCATTCATTTACTATAATAATAATAAAAATGTCAAAATCTTGATGTAGTCCCATTTGTTTATTTTCTTTTTAGTTTCCATTGCCCTTGGAGCTGTATTGGTGAAGATATTGCTTTGGCCTATGTCTGAGCTAAAAAGCTTCTGCACAGCAAAATAAACCATCAACAAAACAACAAGAAAGCCCACTTCATGGGAGAACATATTTGTCAATGTAATCTCCAATAGGGTTTAATCTCCAACATCTACAGGGAACTCATACAATTTAACAAAAGGAAGCTAAACAACCCAATCAAAATACGGGCAAGGGACCTAAATAGATACTTTTTGAAAGAAAACATACCAAAGGCCAAGAGACATACGAAAACATGCTCAAAGTCACTAATCATCTGAGAGATACAAATCAAAACAACAATGAGGCACCATTTCACATCTGTCAGAATGGCTATCATCAACAAATCAACAAATGACAAGTGCTGGAGAGGATGTGGAGAAAAAGGAACCCTCATGCACTGCTGGTGGGAATGCAGACTGGTGCAGCCACTATGGAAAGCAATATGGAATTTCCTCAAAAAACTAAAAATGGAACTCCCATTTGACCCAGTGATCCCACTTCTAGGAATATATCCCAAGAAACTAGAAAAATCAATCTGAAAGGATACATGCACCCCTAAGTTCATAGCAGCACAATTCACCATAGCTAAGATTTGGAAACAGCCTAAGTGCCCATCAGCAGATGAGTGGATTAAGAAACAGTGGTACATCTACACAATGGAATACTAAGCTGCTGTAAAAAGGAAGGAACTCCTACCATTTGCAACAGCATGGATGGGCCTGGAGAGCATTATGCTAAGCGAAATAAGTCAGTCAGAGAAAGATAAATATCACATGATCTCACTCATTTGTGGATTATAATGAACAACATAAACTGATGAACAAAAACAGATCCAGAGACAGAGAAACAATCAATCAGACTGTCAAACTTCAGAGGGAAGGCAGGGGAGAATGGGGAGAAGGGGGAGAGATCAAAGGACTTGTATGCATGCATATAAGCATAACCAATGGACACAGACACTAGGGGGATGAGGGCATGAGCGAGGCAGTGGGAGGCAATGGGAGGGATAAGGACACATATGTAATACCTTAATCAACAAAGAAAAAAATAATTAATTAATTAATTAATTGACAAAATTCAAAATCTTGCTATGCCAAGATTTGATGAGATCATTCTATATTTTACAGAAGTCATATGGAAAAAAAATTACTGAACTGATAGCAAAGAAGAAAACTAAAAAAGCTGAATATGTCAGCCATAGGGTAACACTGCTTATTGAGATTACTCAAATTTGGTGGTGAATCCACACTTAGGATATATACAGAGTGTTAGTGCAATGAAAAGAGTGTAGCATTTCCTTAGCTTACAGATGAGGTCATAGATATGCAAGCTTCTTTTGGCTTTTTTATTTAACATTAATAAATGGCTCCCAGATGTCACTTAAAAATTAAAGTTTGAGCAATAAATATTTGCTTCACATTTACTTTAATGAATAAATGGAAAATAATATCTTAGAATAGTTAAAATCTAAAAGAAGATTCCTTTCATGCAGGCAGATGCATGTTAGGTTACCCTGCAGACCACCAGTTACTCATTGGTGGTCTCAGCTTCTATTTACTTCAATAACTCACTATAATGCTATATCCTTGAGAATATGCATATATCCCATCACATTAAAAAAGTGTATAAATAATGCCATCAAGGCAGTTGCATTAATTGGAGGGAATCCTTTCATAATGTATACATATATGAAATCACCGCAATGTACTCTTTAAATATTTTATAATTTTATATATCAATTATACTGATTTTTTAAAGACATGTTGAGTTGAAAAAGTCATTAAAATATTTCAAAATTAAATTAAATATAATTTGGTACACCAGGAGATAGATGTATCAGTCTTCTGTAAGACACTGGATTAATATTCATTTTGGTTGATAAGCTTGAGGAACAAATCACATTTTCATCAATACTTAACTTAATTAACTCTTGTACATTTGCCTATCTATTCAAATGAATTCTACAATGCTATTCTGTAAATTGACTGAAGAGAAGGACAATTGATTGAAACTCAAAAAAACAGGCTTCCTTGATGCAAAAGAATATACAGACCAAGAAGTCCAAAAGTCTTAAAATATCCCAGATATTTTAGCAAAGGCTCAAATAGAGTTGGGAAAGTTCTAGACACTTGTTTTACAACATTACAACTGCATTCAATAATACTGTATTGTACACTTAAAAAATTTGTTAAGAGGATAAGCCTCATGTTAAATGTTCTTGCCACAATAAAATAACATTTAATAAAAGATTTATTGGGATTGAACAATGAGTACATTTTTGTGCATACCTCTAGCATTATGTACAGATTTCTACTCCAACTTTTACTTCTGTTTTCTCTTTCTTGTCATTTGTTCTTTATTTCCATATAATCTTGCCACAGGATATAAACTCTTCTCCTGAAGTTTAACAGTAACATATTCATCAACTCAAATATGTCATAACATAGCATATTTTATCCTCTTCCATGACTTTGAGCTTCCACTGGAAACTTACTCTCTCTGATTATACCTGCCTGACCCTGTCCTTCCTGATTCTCCTCTAAGCTTCTATAACTAATTTGTCTCCTGTTTTCTTTACTGGCTCTTTTATCTCAATCCTCCTTCCAAAATTTGTGCTTTCATTTCTTTTCCCCCATCTTCTCCTCTCTTATTTTTTTTTTTATTTTCTCTTAGATATTCTTCGCTAAATTTCAAGACTTAAATAATTATTTTCCGTGGTCCACTAGCAAACTCCATCTCCTACCTTATTTATTCATCCTCATTTCCAGATAACTATTTGTTTAATCTACTTTGAGACTATAACAAAATCTCAAAGACCACATTCACAAAGCTGAACTTCTAAATTCTTAGTTAAAATGACTTCTCCTCTTACATCTCCCCCAATCCCTTCCAGCTAGTGGCTTGACCATTTACCTCCAATATCCACGAACTTAAATTTCATTATTATTAGTTCATACATCTTGCATCCTGCCTAATGTCAGTTGGGAGGCTGTGTTGATTCTTCCACTACAATAGTTCACATCTACGCATATACTCCATTTGTCTATTATAGCCATCACGATTTCCTGTTATGCTGTATCCAAAGTCTTGTCAATATTGGTTTAAATATATCATGTTTATTTAAATATTGTTTTTAATATTTTTCATTTTCAATTATAGTTTATATACAACATTATAGTAGTTTCAGGTGTACTACATAGTGATTATACATTTATATATCTTACAAAATGATCACCCTGATAAATCTAGTACCATCTGGCACCATACATAGTTAATACAATACTATTGACTACATTCCCTGTGCCATATTTAATATCACTGCAACTATTTTGTGACTATCAATTTGTACTTCTTAACCTCTATACCCTTTTTCACAAATTTCCCCAACCTCCTCATATCTGGCAACCATTAGATGACCTCTGTATCTATAAGTCTGATTTTTGGTTGTTCATTTATTTTGTTCTTTAGATTTGACATATAAATGAAATAATCTGGCATCTTTCTTCCTCTGTCTGACATATTTCTCTCAGCACAATACCCTCTAGGTTCATCCATGTTGTTGCAGATGGAAAGATTTCATTCCTTTTTATGACTGAGTCATATTTCATTGTATATATTCATCACTATTCCTTTACTCATTCATCTATTGATGGACATTTAGGTTGCTTCCATATCTTGACTATCTATATATCTATATATATAAAAAGCCAGCAGCCGTAACGACCATAATGACCGGTCGCTATGATGCCCACTGTGGCCAGCAAACCAGCCCGATCAGATACATATGTCTCCTTTTTTCCCATTGACCCAAGAGCTCTCTATGTGGTTAGCTGAGGCTGATCCCTGGACAGCTTTACTTATTCCTCTGCTCAAACCTGCTCTTTTCCCATTCTTCCCAGTTACTGTTCTCAATTTTATCCTTCAATAAGTACTGCCCACTACCGGACTCTCCCACCCTGATCAAGGGTGGGGCCAGCTGGCCAAACGCCTCATCTCCCTTCCCCTGCCAGCCCTGCCCCCGATCAGCCCACCCACCACGGTAGGGGGCGGGGCCAGCCAGCCAACCTCCTGCAGCCCCTCCTCCCTCCCTGCCCCAACCCAGATCGGCCCCCCACCCCAATCAGGGGCAGGGCTAGCCGGCCAATCACCCATAACCCCTCCCCCAGGCCACTGGCCCCCTGGTTAGCACCCCTCACCCATTTGGGGGTTGGGTCAGCCAGCCCACCACCCACAGCCTCTCCCTATTGACTGGTCCCACCCCCAATTGGCCCCCCAACCCCAATCGGGGGCGGGGCCCACCAGCCAATCACCACAATCTCCTCCTCCCAATTGGGGACAGGCCGGCTGGACCCCACCCATGCACGAATTTGTGCACTGGGCCTTTAGTTGTAAATAATACTGCAATGAACATATGAGTGCATATGTCTTTTGGAATTACTGTTTTGGATTTGCTTGAATAAATACCCATAGTGGAATTGCTGGGTACTTCTTTGTCTCTTCTTATAGTCTTTGTTTTAAAGTCTGTTTTGTCTAGTGTAAGTATTGCTAACCTAATTCTGTCATTTGGTTCATGTTTCTGTGTCTTCTCATATTGGTTGCTCCCCTGTGTTTATTTCTGACTATGAGGCAGAGCTGCCCCTTTGCTAGTCTTTTTAGAGTGGCCTTTGTAATAAGTGTCCTGTAGGGCTCAGTAGTCACCTGAGCCAGGTGTTCCAGGTATGTTCCTTGTGTGGACTGTGTGTGCTCTCCTGAGATAGTTGAGCCTTGATTGCTGTTGGTATGTAAGTGGGAGAGACTGACCCTCAGGCTGACTGATTGTGAGGACTGGCTGAGACTACAGTGGAGGAGTTTTTGTACAAGGGCTTACCCTACAGAGAAGAATTCACTTTAGCAAGGCTCTGGTGCCTTCAGAGTTTGCCCTTACAGTGTGTCATTTGGGGAGGTGGTTGGGTTGTACTCTGGTGCCTGAACCTGGCCCCCAAATGTGTTGGTTCTGCAGTCTCCTGGGATGTGCTAGCCAAAGTCAGAACTGCATGTGCCTTGCTTGGCACCACCTGGTATGAACAATAAAGTTATCTTTAGAAGGTTGCCACTGTGATGGACTTAGAGGTGCCTGGGAGAAGCTAACTGCAAACTTAGGCCACCTATTGCCAGTGCCAGGCTTGGGGCTGCTTAGAAAAATGTACAGGGTACACCAAGGCCAGGTGCTACTTGTTTGGGGTTTGAGAGATTTTAGAAAGATCCACAGCATGAGACAATACATCCCATTTGCCTGGAAAAGCCACTGGAAGCAGTTGGGTGGGCCAGCAAGTTGGGTGAGGCAGGGTATCAGGGAATCATCAGGTCGGGGAAAAATCTGCCAGACTGATGGAGACTCAAATACGGCATCTCCAAAAAATGCTTCTTCCAGCACTTCTGTCTAGAAGAAAGCTGCCTGTCCATCCTTGCCTGAAGCCAGATAATTCAGTTTCTCCCTGTATGTTATGTCCCTGGAACCTTTCAAGATGCTGCCCCAGCATGAGTGAGTCTGTCTGCAAGTAAGTCCATGCTAGTTTCTCTCTGAGAAACACCTGGGATTCCAGCAGCCCTGTGCCTCACTCAGTCACAATCTCTGCTGGTTTTCACTGTCAAAAGTTATGACGACTTCTCTTCCCAGCACTGAAACCCTGGGTTGGAGACTCTGGTATGAGCCTGGGACACCTCTCTCCTCAGGGAGGATCTCTGTAGCTGAGATAATCCTCCCAATTATTAACCCCCACTCATGGGTGTGTGATCAGCCCATTCCTCATGTCCGACCACACTGCCAGTCTCAACATGGTTTCTTCTGTAAAGCCTTAGTTATAGGACTTCTGTTCAGATGGTTCTCAATAAAGGTTGTTTTGTACTTTAGTTGTAATTTTCATGTGGCCATGGCATAAAGTACAGTGTTTATCTGCTCCACCATCTTGACTAGAAGCTGTTATTTAAATATTCTTTACAACATCTTTTCAAATCTCTTTGGGATTTTTTTTTGTTTTGTTTTTGGAACAATATAACTTAAATACATTTATCCTGATTTCCAAAATTTCTAAGATATAGAATAAAACTTTTAAATAAAAATATGATTTTTACCACCAGGAAAATTATATAACCATGTAAAAATGTAAGCAGTCTAGGATTAAAGATAGCTTCATACTATGATAACTTTTATCAGCCTGCATGTAACTTGAAAGCACTATCGCCTACACTCATTCATTTGGTCAGTGAGTCCTTTAACAATTATTTGCTGAGCACTTCCTATGTTCCAGGTACTGTTTAGGTGTTGGGTACATAGTATTGAACAAAATAGACAACTACCTGCATTAGTGATGCTTATATTCTAGGATAGTGGGGAGGTAGACAAAATGTAAGTAAGGTAGGGATTACCTAAAAAAGCCTGTTTGCCACCACTTTACCACATAGACATAAGAGAGATGGGGTTCAAAATGATTAAAGAAAAAACAATCTTCCTGTAACAGAAGGTATCATATTGGCCAAACATTGAATGTGAGCAACACTTATTTTATTGCAGAACTGCATAGTTTAGCACAGTAGAATATGAGTTAAATTAGTGTAAGCTGTAAAAATAGAGCCTATACTTTAGTGCAAGCTTTGCGCAATTACCGAATAAAAGGCTAGTAGTTCTCAGCTGTTGGCATATATCTTAATATAAAAAATCACCTAGAGTATGCATTAAAAAATTATCAACTGAAAAAAGGGTCAAGTGGGCAGAGTAGGAAAACCCTGAGTTCAACTCCTCCCACACACACATGAAAACTATAGGTACATATAAAACAACCATATCTGAGAACAACCTGAAAACTAGTAGAACAGATTGTCTACAAATCTACATATATAAAAACCTAATATGCAAAGTCCCCTCAGGAGTTTGACTGACTGGGAGTTCGATCACTCACTATGATGTGTGCTGACCACCAGGAGGTGGTACGGAATGAAGGGAGGCCCCAGCCGGCAGCTGGCAGCCGGTAGGGACCGTACCCATGCACGAATTTCATGTGCTGGGCCTCTAGTAAAGATAAAGACACATCAACTTGGTTAGGAGGGACAGACGTGAAGTCTAATCAGGACCCAGAATCCCCAGGGCAGCAACCCCATAAGCAGGAGAGAGATCACATCTGTGGAGGTCTCACCTGAAAAGCAAGGGTCTCACCTGAACCCCATAGGGGGCTCCTCAGTCCCAGTGATCTGTACCAGGAAGAGGAGCACACAGCATATCTGGCTTTGAAAACCAACAGAACTTATATGTCCAGGAGAGCAAAAAGGCTGTAGGAGACTCCACTCTTAAAGGGCTATTACACAAATTAACTTGCTCTGAGTTCCAGCACAGAGGCAGCAGATTATAAAGCACCTGAGTCATA